ATCTAAAAAATTGTTTGCTATAGTAAGATTCTCCACCACACATTCACCCAATAAAATATTCTACACACAAACCAATAAAGTTACTTTAATTTTCAACCACACATTCTCCAAAAAATACTATTCATTACACTAATTTTCTCTCAATAATGGGAGACAAATAAGCTCTTAATTCGATTAGGTTATTTAAAAAAAAAATTGGGCCAAAATTGAGTGAGGCCATCCGGTGTTGGGCCGGGCCTCACTTTAAAAAATGGGGGCCAAAAAATGAAGCCCCCTCCACTTTTGGGCTTGAGTCGCTGGCCTCATTGGCCTCGCCTGAGAACTGGCCCTGCTTAGGGTGGTTCTTTGGAAGAAAGGATCATGCGGTTATAATTGTAGTTGTCGAATTGATTGATATCACAAATTACAAAACTAATCTTGTGACTGTTATCAGGGTTAGCCAAACCGTGTATTCTTGGTTGTCAACAAAATCAAACACTTGATTTTTATGGTTTGTTCGCATTTAGAGCTACTTTTTTTTTTTCGATCTCGCTATTTAGGTTGACACAAGGTATCTTATGTTATGCTGACACTGTAACTTACGTGGGAGGCAACAGTTTGATGTCATGTTTGTTGTACTGGGATTGGATTGAACTATATGATGATTGATAAAGTTTTCAAATGTGTCTTGTTCCGAATGTGATCAGTTAGAAGTGGAACTAAGTCGTCATTCTTTAGTTCTTGACAGTGTCATCCTCGACTCAATATGAGGATTGTTGGTGTATGCTGTCACAGGCACCCAAAAGTAATACCTCAACCACTAAAACTAATGTAGTCGTGGAAGTAAGGGTCAATCCCACGAAGAGTATGTAAATAATGCAATCAATAATAATGAAAATTAAATTAACGAAAATAATCAAAAGACTAACATTTGTCTAAATCCACATCCACCGTCGAAAATTCACGATTGATCATAGATGCAATGATAATTCAATTCATATCTTCAATATTTATCGTTAGAATTGATTCATATTTCTCCTTAATTTTAGTTAGTTAGAAACCAGTAATCTAATTAACCATAATTATTAAACAACCCTAGACCAGGGCTCAAGATTCAATTTAATAACAGTTTTACACAATAGAGAAATCGATGAACTAGATAACACAAACACTAGTGGTTCCATTCAATCTATTTAAACATTCTTCTTAAAATTCAATAACCTCTATCGTAGAAAATCATCAAATCCTAGTGCTTCACAAGTTAAAGAAATCAAACAATTACGGATTTGATATTTAACTTAGCAGTAGATTGT